GTCGTATTTTAGTATGGAATTAGGAGGGGTCGTAATTTTCAGAAAATGATCACAACGCGATGGCGTGCCCTGACTCGAGATCGCCCTTCCTACTACCCCTCCCCCAGTATGAAGCTGGTGCCAGCTAAGGCTATTCGATAATAACATTACATCTGCTGATTTATGGCACACTTCGCGCTGATGATGTGAGTGGAGACAAAGAACCATCTTCCCTTCCACAGGTCTAGAAGAAGAGGAGACCAGGGGTAGTAGGAAGGGCGATCTCGAGTCAGGGCACGCCATCGCGTTGTGATCATTTTCTGAAAATTACGACCCCTCCTAATTCCATACTAAAATACGACCCCTTTTCCCCCTCCTGCCCTCTGTACTTCCTCACCTCATCGAAAGGAGCCGTCGAGCGGGGGGAGCGGGGAAGTCGTCAGAATTAATTTATTATTTTCAAGTGTCGGAAATAGTAGTGACCATGAGAGAGGAACACAGTCCTTTCACTGTTCATGTGCTATATATCGCGAAATGTACCTTAGTGCGTCCAGTGAACTGACCAAATTACCTCCCAAAATACCTCCCCTTTCCCAAAAATGACCTAGTACGACCCCCCCCCTTTACAGTGTCCGTGAAACAAGAGAAATCAACTATCAAAAAAATTTTTCTCTGACCAAATACGACCCCCTCCCTCGCGGTCAAATACGACCCCCCCCCTTGTGATGATCACAACGATGGCGTACCCTGCCTCGCAGTACGTTCTCACAAAGCAAAACTAAAAATTTCTTCGAATCGCTTATATTTTCGCCTGCTTACGTGACTCCTACTTGTCACTTTCATCTGTGATCTGCCACCTCTAGTGTCTGGACATTGAGTTGAACCGGTTAACTCTTCTTCTTTCTACCTGAACCCGGTCGCAATCGTCACCATGCTCTCTTGAAAACGCCCCTTGTTGTTGTCAGCTATGAAGTGAGAATTGGTTTCTTCAAGGTAGTGGATAAGGAGCTACTAGAAGAACGGCAAAATGCAGAAGCTAAGGAACGTGAATAGAAAAAGGGACTTGTCCGAGCCTAACCCATATTGAATAAGGAATTTCGCCTAGCTATTACTCATCTCGCCTTAGAAAGAGCTTTTATTTGCCACGAGTCCGTGAGATTTTGTAATATACGATCTAAAAGTCACAGAGGTCGTCAGAATTAAACTATCATTTTCAAGTGTCGGAAATAGTAGTGCGTCCGTGAACTGACCAAATACGACCCCCCCCTCCCAAAAATGACCAAGTACGACCCCCCCCCTTTACAGCGTCCGTGAAACAAGAGAAATCAACTATCAAAAAATTTTTCTCTGACCAAATACGACCCCCCTCCCTCGCGGTCAAATACGACCCCCCCCCCTTGTGATGATCACAACGATGGCGTACCCTGTCTCGAGTACGTCCAGCAACAACTGCGTATTTCGCTGCTCCTACCTCTTATACGTACGCCCCTCTCTGTCTGGACTCTTGAACCGTCTCTTTAACTCTCTCTTTCTGCCCTGAACCCTCGAATCGTCAGACATGCTCTTGAAAACGCCCCTTGTTGTTGTCAGCTATGAAGTGAGAATTGGTTTCTTCAAGGTAGTGGATAAGGAGCTACTAGAAGAACGGCAAAATGCAGAAGCTAAGGAACGTGAATAGAAAAAGGGACTTTTCCGAGCCTACTCGTATTGAATAAGGAATTTCGCCTAGGTATTACTCATCTCGCCTTAGAAGAGCTTTTAATTGTTGCCACGAGTCCTGAATTTATTCTCTAAGTGCAGTTTATTTTTTTGGAATGCATTTTCACTTTTTGTCAAAGTTAACGGTTGTAATATGATTACTGTATGTACGTGTACCAAAGTATTTATATGGTTGTTCGTGTGACTGTGATAGTACTCAAGAGTACGTAGTAATTTATTTATGTCGCATTTCTTTTTTCTTAGGAGAAATTAAATCTTTAAACAGTAAAGTTTTTTGTCACAGTGAAATGACCAGCAGCAATGAGATCGCGGAAGTATGCTTAGTCAATAGGAAAGTGAACTAAATACAAATAAATAAAATAAAAATAAAATAGGAATTAGTGAGAAACAAGTACACATCTGGGTTCCGCAATAAATATGGCTTCAGGGGCACCGCTCGGGATTGCTAGCTGGGAAGAGTCGGGAACCGATGTCACTTGCTCGCCATTCCTCTGCTCACCTTGCAGTGAAAAAAGCGAAAAGGGGAGCAGCTATGACGACATTTCCTGGCTCCGCCCACCGAGCAGTCCCAAGCGATGTCTTTAAATTATAAAACTGTTAATCCTCTGCACAAAGGCTTATCATTTCGTCGTCGTCGTCTTCTTCAGAAGGCGGGGCTATGCAGTATTTCAAAGGAATCACGAACACCTGGAAACATTCATGAAGTTCGGGAAAATGAACTTGGGAGGTTCATGAGGAAATTGACCTATGAGACGCGAAAATCCTCAAGCTATAAACTGCATTCCTTGCGGGTGTGCAAGCGTTACAACACGCCCCACAGGTAATTTCGCTATTCGGTACACTTAAACTGTAAAGGCAGTTGGCACGATAATTTGGTACTCAGCCTAAAATGCTCGCAGGGCACTACTTATGGTTAGTGGGGAAAATGGCGAAAAAAAAACGAAGTGAAACGGTCCAAAACTGCGAAGAAAAGCCTTCGTTCTTGAAAAGCGATTTCGGACGAGTTTCCCGTAGGCGTATTGCAAATAACCGCTCCGGTAGGTGCGGCTGCATCTATGTACTCATATATCCATTCAGCACCGCAGCCGCTTCATACCAATCTCTTCGCTTCATATTTTAAATAGCAAATGAAGCAAAACGAGCATTTGGTAGGGTCGTCCATTTGTGGTAGGCGCTCGGGTCGGAAAGTTGTAGCTTGATAGGACCCTTATAAAGGTACCTCCGTGGGAAAAACCGCTACGCAGGGCCTGCTCAGGGTCGCGGAAATCCGCCCTGCCAGACATATCCTACTCGTCTTTGGGGATTTATCGTGCCAACTGCCTTTAAACTTCGGGTAATGCTCATGGCTCGCGATGGGCAATCGCGCGTCTACTAGTCCGTGGAACTTCTGGACAGGACAAATCTGATCCTGACCCGGATTCCGTGAATTGCAAGTTGCTCTTGGACTATGATTGAGCTTCTTTTCAAACACACACACGTACGCACCTCCACACACTTTTCAGCACGAGGAATTGAACGCAGGGTTCCTGTAGGTTTCGAGCGCTGTTCTACTTGGCGGGGGCGTTCTGCTAGTTCCCATCGATCACTGCCGTGCGTAGGTTCACAAGAACCAGTAAGAGAAACTAGGGAACTACGGAAGTGCCCATCCCCCCCCCGCCTCCCTCATGCAAAGGCCATGGAAACGACACAGATAGGATTGGAGGAGCTCAGCAGCGCCGTGTTTTCTACCAATAATGGCACTGTTTGGCTGGCAACAATAAGGATGTTTTCATGCACCTCAGCTGGGAAAAGTAAGGAAAACCATGGTCCACTTACAGTAATGTCATCAGTAGATGCACTTCCTCCACTGTTCATCGTCCATCGATGTCCATTGCTTCCACTTGGATAACCTCGTGCAGCGATTGCCAGCTCCTGAGCGGCCATACTGTATCTGCAAAACCTGAGGTATTTAATGTGCAGAGAATTCGTCCGTGGTTTGGGTTGTTCCGCCTGATCGATCGGTAAGGTGTCGTTTAGCCGCTGAATGTGCTACTGCGGAAAGACAGACTGAAATTCACCCAAAATTTGACAGACTAAGTCTCCTGTCCTTCCCCTCCCTATGAACCTACTTCTGCCTTCAGAAGCCAATCCTTATAGCTCACTGGACCCGAACTATGCAACCAGAAAGGCAAGCTGCGGGCTTGTCAAATATGAACGTTTCCTTATTCCGCTAGAGCTACGTCAGTTCAGCATCCATGGCTGCCTTTTCCCCATATACTGCAAAAGCATACTCGCTCGGGGTCCTTTAGGGTCTTGCAGGGAAACTCACCGTGATTGCTCGCTTTGTTCCGTTGCCGATAAGGAAGAGCGGACGATTAAACCAGCATCTTCGTTACTCAACACATCCCATAAGCCATCTGATGCTATGATGAGGATATCCTTATCCGACAAAACGTCAAGGTTCCGTAAATCGAACACCCGCACCTAAGAAAAAAGAGTGAGTTGTTATAACGTCATCCTAATGCTGAAGATTCGGGGCAACCTTGCGTAGTGAAGAAATTTGAAGGAGGTTGTGTAAAACTATTCTACGAAAAATGATGGTTTCAAGCAAGGCGTGACAGGGCTGAGGAAGCAAACTGGTTCCAGGTACGGAAATTTCAGTTTGCGCAAGAAGTCTTCTCGAAATTCCAACCCTAGCCGACTTTCCCCGGTATTTGTGATGAGAAATACAACCCTCAGTTAAACACACTGTCCACGCTGATCGCGTGGGCGGAGACAGAGACTTAGCGCGTTTCTGTGAGTCACTTCTTATTAAAGCACAGGGCGCACCGATGAGGAAGGTGCTAGAGGGTACAAGCGGTACCAGCGGTAGTAAATCATAGGACTCGAAGGTACAACGTAAGAAAGGCACTCTACACTAACTTACCTCTGGAACTGACGAAAGAAATGGTTTAATCGGTAGATGATCATCGACTGTGAACAGATGGTGATCCCCAAACCCTCGCGACACCCCAATCGTGTTCAGGAGACGTCTCTGAAATGGATTAAATCTTCCCTACTTCAGTTTTGAGATGACCGTTTCAGTTTCTTTCAAAAGTTCAGATTTCATTGATAAAGTCATAGTAGACCCTGTCTATATCTAAAAATAACAAGAGGAGGCGTCACGAGAGTAGCGAGGGTCTAGACGCAGAGATGCATGTCTGCGAGAAAGAGAGTTAGCATGGGAATACGCAGCCACGCCTCTTGCTGCCTTCCGATATGAACGATTTATACCTTCCGTGTGCAATCGCTTATCAACGGGGGTTTCAAATCGCTTTCCTTGACCGTTTTCGCTGCCCAACCGTCCATAAACCAGTCCCTGAAACAGTTTCTTGAAGGAACACAAACAACCAGGCTGAACCTGCCTTACAGTACCTGAACAGCACTTTGGTCTTCAGGTCTTTCCTCGATAACGCTCTAGAATATTCGAGACGGGAAAAGCAATTCCCTATGAGCTCGGGGTTCTGATATGCCTGAAATTACGCATTTAGTCATATCAAAGGGTCACATTAAAGGGATTAAGACCCCTCGGTTGATCAGTTTCTTTCCAGGATGCAGCATGCGTACGAGCAACAGCAGGCAGGACTAGTCCTCGCTACTTCTCTGCTGGTCTAGGCTCTGTGCGGTGGTGAAGATGAAACAGACCCACTGGACGAATGTGATCCTATGGTTGCAGACGAGCAGAAAAGAGCGCGGCCCAGTACAGCTGCCGATTGTTCCCACTAACTATTCTAGCTCGAAAAAAAAAACAAGGAAAGATCAAGGCCTACGAGGGTCTGCAGCCGTTTTCGCTCGGTTGCCGGCGTAAAATCAGAACTGAGCGCTCGTGAACCTTCGTCCGTCACCAGTACTGCACGACAATCACCCGCATTTGCTAAAAGTAATATTAGCTCAGGAAAGCTGCTAAAAGAAATTCGGACAATGTAGACAGTTACAAAGCTTTCAGGGCAAGCTTACCTACATACAATTTACCAAGAAATACCAAAACCGCAATGGCCGCACAACCGCCTGTGATTCGCCAAGTTTGCTTGTCCTCAGCAATTTGTGAGTCCTGAAAAAAGGTCTAGTGGAAAGTAAAAAAAAAGAGGTAGGAAAGAAGCCGCAAAAAGTCTAACTATCTTCACCAACTACGCATTTTCAACTCCATGTACAGTCCACGCTGTGGGTGGAGTCGGGGCTACTGTGGGATGCCTTTATTTCTTTTTGAGGCGCTAAAAACTGGCGTCTTCCTAGTTTTTTAGCGCCTCAAAAGAAATAAAGGCTGGTGTTCTCGCCCAGAGCATAAGTACGTGGTGCACCTCCAAGTAGAAAATGACAATATTCAGTGCAATACTTGAAGGGCGAGTCTCAGAGATAGTGCAGGTAGAAGACGAAGCTGCCCGCCCATATGTGTAGCTACTCCGCCGCCTCCATGGGGTGGAGAAGGAGGGGAAACGTAACGAAAAAAGCACATTTGAATGGTTTATCTGATGTGAATAAGCTCCTGGAGGTGTATTCAGTGGGAACTAAAAATAATAACAGCCAAAAATTCACAAAAATATCCACAAACCATATCAACAAACGCCGCCTCTAGGGCACCAACAACCAGCTCATCACATCGAATTGACACCGAATCCATCTATAAAACAAAAAAGGATTGCCATGGAGTCTTCCACAGCAAGTAGATTACTGTACCTTACTGATACTGTAGGATGAGTCTGACCGTGCTCTGCTGGACAAAAGGGTTTCGTTTTTATCCAGTTGAATGATCGACTCCAGTACTACGCCTAATCGAGACTGAAAAGACGAGAAAGATTTAGGATATCTGAAAAAAATTATGGGTTAGAAAGGAGGGGGGAGGGGGCGTAAAGGTGTCGTGAGGTGGCACGCGAGCGGCGACTACTCCACGTTGGCTGTCTTGCCTTGCTATATCATGCTCGCTGCGGATGCTGGGGATGTCAGAAAGAAGGGGGAGGGGGTGGATTTGTCACGGCCCAGCCCGTTCTTCACCAGCCTCGGAAGCTCGCAAGCGACTACGGTCGGTGGAAACGGCCGAGCCCGCTTCAAATCCAGCCCCCTGACAGGTCCAAGCATCCGCAGCGAACAAGACTGTATGGCTTTTCCAGGTCTCGGGATACCAGTTTCCTACCCGTTAAGAGGATGTAGACAGACATATGTAACGTGGACTCTCAACTCCCTTAGATCAACCAAACGTTTCCCAAGAACAGGAACAAATCCCTAGTGTATGTCCGCTTACCGGTTCTTACCCGCAAAAGGAAGACAAGAAACTTATGAGAACCAGTAACTTTTTTGGCATGGATTTGCACATAAGCTGTTCCTCTGTAGTGGTCACGAAGAAATCTGACCTTTATGTGTTCGTGAAGACATCGACTCGCAACAAGTGCAGCTCCTGAACCAGCGTGGCCATCGAAAATGGCAAAGAATGCGGCTTCGGCTCGAATTCCAGAGGTTGTGCACGACTGAAACGAGTCCAAAAATAACATAAAAAATTGGCCCGTGAAAGCAGCAAAGAGGAAAACAACTAGAGGAGAAAGAGACGAAAGCTGTAAGTAAAATGCATTCTTAACGGCTTGAGGAGAAAATAACTCCACTTTAAAGGCAGTTGGCACGATAAATCCCTAAGACGAGTAGGACTAATACGCCTGGCAGGACGGAATTCCGCGCCCCTGAGCAGGCGCTGCGTAGCGCCCTTTTTTGAGGAAGGTACCCTTATAAGGCCCTATCAAGCTGCAACATACCGACCCGGACGCCCACCGCGCCCGCCCGCCCACAAATGGACGACCGTACTTGATGCTCGTATGGCTTCACTGAAATGAAGCGGCTGCGGTGCTGCATAGATACATGAGTACATACAGTCCTCATCATTACGGACTGTCGGGGCGGCACAGCCGCGCTGCACTGTGACGCGACAGCGGCTGCGGCTCGGTGACGGTGAATCAGCTGATTTCGATGGAATTCGGCTGCAAATTCCTACTTTTTCAGCTCTTCAAGCTTCTAAAGTGGAAGGTGAGTTATTCTGAACAATTTTGAATTGTACTGGCTCTGATTTCCTTTATTTTTATGTCGATTATATTTTCCTTGTATTTTGCCTTATTTCAGGCATTTATTCAAATGGCTTGCATTCTTTCAGATTCATTCAGAGTACAATTTAAAATTGTTCAAAATAACTCACCTTCCAACTTGACGAGAGCTTGAAAAAGTGGGAATATCGCAGTCGATTTACATTGGAAGTCAGCTTCATTCGCCGTCACCGAGCCCAGCCAGCGCTGTCGCGTCACATTGCAGACGGGCAGCTGTCGCTTGCCTGACAGTCCCGTTAAGGCTAGAGACTGTACGTGCAGCGTGTACCTATGGTAGAGCGTTACTCTGCAAGATGCTTTACGGAATGCTCGTCCAAAACTGCTTTCTGAGTCGCGATAGGAACAACCTTTTCATCATTTTTATCCGTTTCACTTCGATTTTTCGCCATTGTCCCACTACATAGCGCCCTGATAGCATTTTAGCGCAAGTCCCAAATTATGCCTTTAATACCGTAGAAAATCTATCCAATGTACCTAGTGCGGAAAGTGCGTGAACCACAGAATAATTGGGATATGGTTATTGTTCACGGTCGGAAAAACTCAGAAGCACGGCGCCTGCTTATTTCCCTAGACGAAAGGCCAGTAAAACAGGTAACAGGTTATCTTCGCATGCGCCAGTCATGAAAGAAATTTCGGAAAAGCCATGACCGCGCTGGAAAAACTGGACCCTAGCCTGTTTGGACTTGCAGTATCTAGTGTGATCTGGTTGATCAAGTGCCTCTTGCAAAAATGTGTCCAACTCGAAAATGAAAGGTGTTCGATTTGGTTTAAAAAGTGTCGCTTTCAGTCCAAAAAGTGCTCGAATGGGATCAGAAGTCAAAACCCATTAATGTCCAGTCATTTGAATGCTTAATAACTAACATTTACGAGTTAATGCTTCAAAAAAATCCAAATATAATAAAATGTGGTGTAGATACGAGCTGAATTTATTATTGTCCGAAAATCTTTGCTCTTGAGTTACACCAAAATAATAATAATACATGAGCCGCTCAATACTAACCGTACTATCACCATTCGGCGACACAAGCTCGTCATCGTCATTTGAGGCCGCCTTGACGACGGTAGACCTGCAAAAGAGGATAAAATCTGAGCGCTGTTCAATCGCTTCTGGGGCGAGTACACCATTTATTCCCATTCTGAACCACTACTCTATTTCCGTTTTGAGTGGGCGTGATTCATGTGTTTTAGAGCGAATGTGTAGTTAATCCTCGGAATCGCCATCGTTTCACTAAAAATAAACTCAGTCCTCCTCCCTCCCATCAGCTTTGAGTTCAGCTGACGCTAAACCAGAGTTTCAAAGGCATCCGCTAACGCTTGGGCCCGAAAATTGCAGAGATACGGAGTTGCAGGGTACCATTCTCACTACCGTGAACCTTCTCTTACCATACTAAAAGAGTTAGGGACAACTTGAACTCAATCCCTTTGATCACGCCAGCGTTCTGCCGCTCTCTGCAGTCTCACTTACGTGAAGATATACAAACACTGCGGCCTCATACATTCCAATTTTTTATGCACAGTAAGTGGCTGAACTATCCGGAATGCTTCCCCCTTCTCCTAGCTTGCCAGATGTTCTTGCGCACCTTTCGATACTTTGGCGTCCGTTATCCTCTATTCGCTTTCAATTCAGGGCTTCGCAAAAAGACCACGTAGAAAAATTCTGGTGCGTACCCGCGTGGTGGGCAGCACCAAGGGGAAGTCACAATGGTGGTGGGCCTTCACTGGAAGATGCCTCCAACGATTCCACTGTCTCATATTACAGAAACGTGATACAAAACGTACGGGTTTTGAGAGTGCTCGAGTTCCTTTGCTTCTTCGGCATCATGCCCTTGTTGGACTAGAGTCAAAAGTCTTGCTGATGCTTGGTCTTCATTTTGAACGGTTTTACCTGAAACACTGGAGTTGCATGAAGAAAAGAACTGCGATTTTAATAGAGCAGAAATCGCTAGGGAATCCTTTCAAATTTCTCAAGTCTGATGTACTGAGAGGAACTGCGAGCCCGTCTTTCCCGAAGTCGGGCAGGCTGGCAATCTTACTTCAAAAGAAGGAAAAGAGTGGGAAATCGCATCTATCCCATAAAAAAGAGTATGGAATGAATTAGGTTTCCACATGAAGAGTGTACGTAATGGAATGAAAGATTTCCTGACTGCGCTGCCTCGTTGCCAGGGGCTTCACTAATGCTCTTTCCACAAAGAGCATCGGCCGCGCTCAGATTCTGCGACACTTTCCCATGAAGAATATGCCGTTTTCTGAGGAGGGGGGGGGGTATTTTCTAGATCAAGACAAAATTAGACATAAAAAGTACCAAATACATTTCGGATAAAAAGAGCGCTTTTTTGTGACAGAACCTCCAACGAGGAAATTCCAAGCAGGAGTTCGCATCAAAAGACCAACGATTCCTCTGAAGGACCAGAAACTCAGCATGTACCCGTTG